CTAGTCAAAAGCAGATAAAAAAAAATTCATGCACTCCCATTTAGCATGTATTATACATTTATAAAAATGGTTGAATCAAATAATATCATAAACCAGAAGTTTGTTGACCAAAAATGTTTTCTACTTTAGCGTGATTGACTTAGATATCCAGGAGCTATAATGATGCGTTGAATAATAAACACATGGACATCCTTTAAAGAACCAGAAGTTCTTTTACCTAATGATTATCCATGTGTAGCTTATTCGCAATGTAAGTTAGTCATTAGACCTTCAACTATAAAGGTTAATATTGAATCTCCAACTTTCTTGGAAAGAATTCATGGAGATATATGTGGGTCAATATGTAACGCCTTGAACTTTTTTTTCATTATTATTGTTATTTTTAAATAAAAATAAGCTCGAGGTGCTACCAAATTTTTTTTTTATCTAATTTAAGCGAAAATATAACTTTTTATTTTAGTGATCAAAATGTGGTTGACAACTCAATAACGACAAAATAATGATTTAAAATAAAATCTTGAAATATCTTATCTCAAAGTAAATTAAAATTCAACATAAAGTGTCGAATGCTCGTACTCTAAGAAAAATATTAAATACCATGCAAAAAAATTAAAATAATGATATTCTTTTAAATAGAATTTGACGATTATTTTTCTAGAAACTTTACTTGATGACCCCATGAATATCGCTGGTCAATCTTCAACTCGTCCACACGACCCGTTCTAATCTAAAAAGCATTGTAAGAGTGAGTATTTTGAAAACACTCAGTAAAAATACGTGCATATTCTTATAACATAATATAAACATAATATGGCATAACATAGCGACATGTCTTAAATTTAGAGCAAACTGGTCGCGATTCCAACAGCTCAAGGAATTTCTTAAGAATTTCCATATCTCGTAGGATTTAATTATATTGACCCAAAGGTTCACCCCGTAGGATTTAACTTCTTTTCTTTGATCTGACGGTCCATCCCGAAGGATTTAACATATAATTCGACCCGAAGGCCTCATAGTATTTTATGCCAAATTTACATAAATATCAAGGATAAGAATTTACCACTTGCACCATGTATTCTTACCTCAATTTGATATCCAAGAATTTATTTGAAAATGACTTCTGAAAATATAAATATACTACTACTCGAATTCTAAAAATATTAGTAGCGCGAAATATGTATAATATTATTGTCGTAGAAGGAAAATCATTCCCATCTCGTATATATATAATTTTTTCGCCACACACGTAACTTACAAAAATGTTAAAAGGCATCCTCTCATTAATTGAATATTAATGGAATTAGCCACCATGCACGTAACATTAGTACAAAAACGGTTTGTGAATGTGATGATGCTAACAAATGTATTTATTATAAAGGCTAATGGGATAATTAGGTTTAATAACTTTAATTATATTAAAACCTATTCATTTCATACCATTATAATTAGTACACATTTCTAGAAGGAAAATTATTTTATATTATATATTAATAAAATATTAAAAGATAACATATTTCTTTTTACTGGAATTAATCGGATATACCTAGTTTAAAATCATTTTTTTCTTGAGCCCAATTTATTCTCTTTAGCACCAGCTACATAACAAGTATAATATTGATATATTTCATAAATTTTCTATAATCTTTAAATAATCGACCCTAGATAAAAGTTAAAATAAATTTATATAATTAAGACAATAAATCTTTTTTTTTTTTTGCAATTAAATGGGTTAACTTATCATATTAACCTTTATATTTTAATGTGATGACAATGCTAGACATGGGCTATCTCATTCGTAAAACGATCAGTATTGATTTTTCTCCATATGAAAATATAATTAAAAGTCGGGGCGTCATATCCTTTCCCCCTAAAAATAATTTCGTCCTTGAAATTACCTTATTTAGCGGAAAAGCCCAGGATACTTGGCTTTTATTTCTTATTCTTTCTCCCAAGTGGCCTCCTCGACTCCATGATTTTTCCATCGAACCTGAACCAATGCGACTTCTTTATTTCTTAATGCATGTACTTTCCTTTTGATAATCTCCAAAGGGGCCTCTTCGTAAGTTAAATCCTTTTGTACTTCCAAAGATTCATAGCTTATCACATGCTCGGGATTGTGCACATATTTCCTAAGCATTGATACGTAGAATACATTATGCACTGCTGATAGTTTGGGCGGCAATGCTAGGCAGTATGCTACATTTCCAATTCTGTCTAGAATTTCAAAAGGACCTATAAATTGAGGTCTCAACTTTCCCTTCTTGCCAAATCTAAGAACTCCCTTTATTGGTGCTACTTTTAGAAAAACTTTCTCACCGACTTCAAATTCTATTGACTTCCTTCGTTGGTCCGCATAACTTTTCTGTCTATCTTGAGTAGACTTTATTCTATCTCTAATTATGTCAATTGCTTGTACTATCTTTGAAATAATTTCCAGGCCCAAGATTCGTTTTTCTCCAACTTCATCCTAATGAACTGGTGATCTACATCTTCTACCCTAGAGGGCTTCATAAGGAGCCATGTCGATAGTAGCTTGGAAACTGCTATTATATGCAAACTCTACGAATGATAGATGAGACTCCCAACTACCTCCCAAATCTAAGACACATGCTCAGAGCATATCTTCTAAAATTTGATTTGGCCTTTCCGATTGTCCATCAGATTGGGGGTGATATGCAGAGCTAAAATTTAACTTTGTCCCCATAGCACTTTGCATGCTTTTCTAAAATTTAGAAGTAAACCTTGGATCTCGATCTGAGATGATGGAGGCTAAAATTCCAAGCAACCTAACAATTTCCTTAACATATAACTGAGCAAATTGATCCATACTGTATTTCATTCTTACTGGAAGAAAATGAGCTAATTTTGTCAATTGATCCACAATTACCCAGATGGCATCGTGTCCTCTCGTTGACTTTGGAAGACCAACGACAAAATCCATGGCTATCTGCTCCCATTTCCAATCTGAAATTTCTAATGGGTTCAATGGTCCTAATGGTCTTTGATGTTCTACTTTAACTTGCTGACATACAATACACTTTTCAACAAAGAGACCAATCCCCCTTTTCATATTCCTCCACCAGAATATGTCGCGAAGGTCCCGATACATTTTGGTACCGCCGGGATGTGCAGCATACGGGGCATAATGTGCTTTCTCTAATATTTCTTTTCTTATCCCTTCATCTTTTGGTACATCTTTTGCTGTTGCAAAGCCTTTTCTTTTACTCGTACCAACTTCCGATTTGATTTTTCTCAAAAAGGGATCGTTGTCTTGAGCATCCTTGATTCGATCCCTAAGAGTGGGTTGAATCTTTAATGCTGCAATCTTTATAGTAATCTGAGATGGTGGAATGATAACCTCCAGCTTCAATTTATCAAACTCCTTTATCAACTGCAACTGAGCTGTGGGTAAAACTACTAATTGTCCCGCTATCTTTCTACTAAGAGCATCCACGACTACATTAGCTTTACCCGGATGGTAATAGATAGTGCAGTCACAATCCTTAACTAACTCCAACCACCTTCGCTGCCTCATATTCAAATCCTTTTGAGTGAAGAATTATTTCAAACTTTTATGATCCGTATAAATATTGCACCTTACCGTCACCAATTCTAGATCATGTGTAGGGTAATTTTGCTCATGTTGTTTCAGTTGTCTTGAGGCTTATGAGATCATATTTCCATGTTGCATCAGTACACATCCCAATCCCTGTTTAAATGCATCGCTATATATAACAAACCCATCTGAACCCTCTGGTATAGTTAAAACTGGAGCTGTAACCAAATTCTGTTTCAGTTCTTGGAAGCTCTCCTCATACTTCTTAGTCCATTGAAATTTTACACCATTTCTAGTTAGTTGGGTCATTGGTCCGGCTATTTTAGAAAATCCTCCGATGAATCTTCAATAATAACTGGCTAGTCCCAAGAAACTACGAACTTTACCTACATTTATTGGTCTAGGCCAGTTGGTTACTGCTTCAATTTTAGTAGGATCTACTTCTATCCCTTGAGCTGTAACCACATGACCAAGGAAAACTATACGTTCAAGCCAAAATTCACATTTCTTGAATTTGGCATACAATTTTTTCCTCCGTAGTGTCTCCAACACTATCTTGAGTTGTTCTTCATGTTGTTCCTTATTCCTTGAATACACCAAAATGTCATCGATGAATACAATGACAAATTGATCTAAATACTGATGGAATACTCTATTAATCAAATCCATAAATACTGCAGGAGCATTTGTTAATCCAAATGGCATTACGGTGAACTCGTAATGACCATAGTGAGTTCTAAATGCTGTCTTTGAAATGTCATCTGCCTTCACCTTCAACTGATGATAGCCTGACCTCAAATCAATCTTGGAAAGTACTGTTGTGCCTTTTAACTGATTAAAGAGGTCTTCAATCCAAGGAAGGGGATATTTGTTCTTGATCGTCAATTGGTTCAATTCTCTATAATCAATGCACAATCTCATCGATCCATCTTTTTTCTTTACAAACAAAATCGGTGCACCCCAAGGAGATGTACTTGGTCGGATGTAACCTTTATCCAATAATCCCTGTATATGTATCTTTAATTCTTGAAGTTCTTTTGGCACCATCCTGTATAGAGCTTTAGATACTGGAGATGCTCCAGGACAAGGTCAATTGTAAACTCCAATTGCCTATCAGGTGGTACGTCAGGTAAGTCATCAGGGAATACATCAATAAAATCTCATACAATCGGCACATTACCAATAGTAAGTTCTGAACGCTGAGTTCCATGTATACTCACCAGAAATCCCTGGCAAGATCTTTTCTTTAACATCTTTTCTACCTTCATAACTAATACGAGTCGAGGTAAAGATTTAACTCGTACAGCACAAAATCGAAAATCTTCCTCCCTAGGCTTTTGAAAAATTACTTCTTTTTCAAAACATCAAATGGTTGAATGATTGCTTCCCAACCAATCCATTTCCTAGAATGACGTTGAAGTCTTTCATGTCTAGGAGGTATAGATCAGCCTTGCTCAAGATCTTTTTTAGGTGGGTATGCCTTGCAATCTGGGGCAAAATGTCCTTCTTGGCCACATCGATAGTACACATTTTTCCCAAATAGGCACTCTCCTCTATACGCCTTGTTGCATTTAGGGCATCGAGGAATAACTTTATTTGGTTTTCTGGATCCTGATCCTGTATTGGCTTTCTTAAATTGTCCAAATCCTTTCCCTTTATTTGGTCCATTCCACTTTCGTTTACCATAAAATTCATTACTTTTCTCAGTCATCCGATCCATTTCTAGATGATCAGAAATTGATTGAGCTCGCTGAAGCACTTCACTATAGGTAGTTGTACGGTGAGATGCCATGATTCCTCCAATTTCTGGACATAGCCCTAGTTCGAACCTCCTAGCTTTCTTTGGTTCGGTATTCACAAGGTGTGTGGCATACCTAGAAAGTTGTTTAAACTTTCTTTCATATTCATCAAGCGACATATTTCCTTGTTTCAGCTGTAGGAACTCCGCCTCTCTCCGATCCCTCAGTGATTGGAGAAAGTATTTTGTCATTACTTCTTTTTTGAACTGTGCCCAACTCATAACACGTTGTTGTTCTTCTGTTCTAGTGCGTGAAGCAGACTCCCACTAGTGGCTTGCTGCTCCAGCCAGCATAAATTCGGCACATGAGACCTTCTGTGCATCAGTGCATGCCATGTGTTTGTAGATTCATTCCAGCCCTCTTAACCACTCTTCGACTGCCAAAGGGCCTGCCTTGCCATCAAAAGAAAGAGGCTTGCATCAAAGGAACTGCTCCACAATTGATCTTGTGTTGTTGGCGTTGATCGGTCCATTCTGAGATGGTGCTGGTGCTTGATTCCTACCAAGGTCGTGCATCGCCCTCATTAGGTCCCGGAACATAGTTGCTTGGTCTTGTTGTCCTTCCATTTCCTTTAAATCAACAAAATAAACGTTGTCTTAGAAAGGTTGGACAACAAAGTAGCTCAATATGTTCACATGAAACTAACTATTTTTATTAATAATACTCCTTGAAAATAGGATATATAATAGTTCGACAATTTTTTTAATTTCCAGTAACGTAAAAGAAGAAATATCACAGTACAAGAAAATAGAATCTATGTTTTCTAATCCCTATGAATCCTGCGAATCTTAATTGGTGGAGCTTCATCTTCAGAGGAGTCTTCTGCCTCAGGACTGGACTCTATGTCCATCTCAACCAGTGGCTCAGGTTCATGATCATTCTCCAACTCCAACTCAATGTCATCCTCATGTTTCCATTCAGGATCTTTCTCTGGGTCCGATTCAAACTGAGGTTCTGGCACTGGCTCGAGCTCAAACTTAGGCTCAACCTCATCATCAAACTCATTTGTCACCTCATATGTGTTGAAGTCAATCGTGTTTTGATGCTCTGGAGGGTTACCTTCTAGTATCTCATCTCTAACCATGATTCCTATATTTTCCCATTGAGGTGAAAGTGAATGTATGAGGTTATTTACAGCCTCGATATGTGTGATCTCCGGTCCTACATCCACAGTTGCCGTACATCTTTCATAGAGTTCGTGGACATGTTCGACAAGGGAATGAGTTGGATCAATCACGAAATTCTCAAAGGAATGAATGACGGACCTACGGTTCAATGCTGCTCTACAAGCCATGACCTTTCTAGCGGTTTGATAAGTTTTAGCCATGTCTGTTACATAAATATCCAATTATGCTTCATCTTTGTTAGTCAAATTATACATTATGCTCTTCTGCTTTGAATGAAATGACTAATCATCATACTTCATATACGGTAAACAAAATAACAACTTACATAGCATATTTCATTCTGAACTTCATGAGCATTTCTTAAAATCAAGCTTAAATAATTCATAAATCATGCTTGACAGTAGGATTAAACATAATATTTCGTTCATACCTTGGGTTCGTCGAACGGTAGCTGACTGACGAGCGCTAAATGCCATGGGTCTTATTTTAAATACTCGTTTAGTGGAAATCTCATATAGAAGTAAAAATATATAAACTAGTTGACATGTACTCACCATAAGTAGAAATCATTTTCTTAACAAGTTATATTGAAACCACTAGAGTAAAATTATTTCATCTACTTCAGAAATTAATTACCCTTTTTTTTACCAGAAAACTATAATAATTAAACAATGAGCACATATTTTATCAACTTCCTAAATTTGAAGTGGAAGAAGAATCAAAATTCAGTGTCTATCTAATTCGAGAATTAGAAGCAATATTAAAGAATAAATCTAAAAATTTTAGCAACATAGAGAACCAAGATCACCAGGATAATTGTTCGCAAAATATTTCTTTTCGATTTTAAAACCCACCGCAAGTGTACGGTTCGTTAACAAGTAGTAAAATGAATTATGAGTCCAAGTATCGTTCCCACGAAGATTGAATTAGCTCTAATTAGACTAATGTGACCTTAACCGAATCTAATTGAATGAAAAATTGGTTTAAATGTGAAAAGCCCTAATTTTGGAAGAAATCCCCAAATTGAAACCCTAATTGCAAAGAAAACCCTAATTTCAAAATTGAAAACCCTAATTTTGAAATTTCACTAATCTAATGAAATAAACACGCAACTGAAATGTAAATATGCAATTTTAGAACTAATGTATTGAAATGAAATCATTAAGAATTTGAATCCCCAATTGACTATTAAAAACCCTAATTTCACAAATTCAACGAATCGATGAACAAAATGCCAATTCAATGTTCCTAAATTATCCAATACACTCTCTCGATATATATATTGAATCTACTCTTACACACCACCAGCCTATGTTTCTATGGATGATGCAATGTACAAGAATGCATGACTTTTTATGAACATTTTCATGAATTGCATAAGGCATAGAGGTAAGTTTCCATCCCCTATCGGACCCTATGTCGATTTATATTCTATCGAATTTATTCCCCTTCTTTCAAATGCAAAGAATAAATCATCTACAATCACATAATAATTGGCCAAATAATTATGGAAGCATTCAAATCATATAAATCAAACATTTGTCCAATCGAAACTAATGTTGAATTTATGAAATAACGAAAATTTAATTCATCAAAAGGTTCATCAAATCCCTAATGAACAAAAACCCTAGACTATAATCATCATTACAAAATCAAGAAATTGAAAAACGAAATTAAAAGATAATAAGAATACACCCGTATGGAATTTC